ATAAACAAAAGGAAATTAATTTCTATGGCTATTCCCTTTCTGGAAGCTGGTAAAACATGAACAGGACACTGCGGCATCAGACACATAAAACACATGAGAGGGAGATGATATCTACACGTGCACCTTTAAATTCTCTTCTGAGGAAAAATTCTCATGGATTTAGTCATAGAAGTTGTCAATCCCTGATATTTCCTCTTTTAGCTGTTTTGGTTCCAGATGTAAAGATGAACCAAAGTCAAAGGTTTTTCACTATTTCCCGCATGAAGTGTATTTGTAGATTATGCACAGAAAACAATAAGCAGACGTAAAGGATGAACTTCCAACTGAACTATGCAAACGCTAACATGTTAAGTGGATTTTAAAGAACTAGACTGAACTGTAATGTAGTTCTGCAATTGTGGTGATAATATATTTTTAGAGGATCCCTTCACAAAACAAAAACTAGTAAGGGCAGAAAAATGATTTCACACCAAGAAGGCACTGGTCCCCCCAGAAATAAGCCCAATCTAAACTGACACAATTTCTTCAATTGTTGTAGAATGTTACTTCTTTAAACTTTCAATGTAGTGGCACAGCTTCACGGCTGGCCCCAGCTTCAGCCCCATATCTTTCATCATTATGTCACTCCTGAGTAGTAGCAGGGCCTGTCCGTCAATCTCCTACAGAGAGAATGAAATTATAATAATTAATAATGCTTTCATATTTCATCAGATAGAGGTTCCTTCTTTATATACAAGAACATGGTATATTCTTGGAATATGCATCTACTTTATGGAAACTATTAAAAATACAATTTGGACAGTGAAGCATCATTTGATAATTTACAAATTAACTTCGAATTTTAAGATCAAGAACACTTAACCTAATATCTTAAAAAATGAACTGTGTCAAACTACCAAATTTTAAAAACTGGGTGTTGAATAAAATACTAAATATCTCCAACAAAGAGGAAACGTATAAATGGTAGAAATGAATTTCAGGCAGTCAAAGTTCTGAGCAGGGCTGGCAATGATAGTAAACCC